ACCCTCCCAAGCATGATGTCCCTCTCCAAGGACCCGTCCATCCGGGCAACATGTCCAAAGTATGTCAGCCGAAGCCCCAGAATCCAGAAAAACCGAAATTTTCAGTACGTCTCAGAAATAAGGGCGTCTTGGAAATTCTCAAACTGTGTAGCTGACAATGACATTGGGGAGATAGATGCCTCTGGAGTTTTGTTTTGGGGGAGCATGGGGAAAGAGGGTCAGGGAACCAGGCAGAAATGAGATGGGGGACGGAAGGAATCTATTGGGGTTCCCCAGCTCTTGGTGGTTCCCCCAAGCTCTGGGAGATGAAACAGGAGGCAGAAGGGGGTGACACCTGGGTCCTGGGCTGGGTGACGGGTTGGTGGGACCCAGGAGAAAAGCTTATTGGGGAAAGATGACAGCCTGAGTCATCAGAAGAGCCATCGTGGGGAAGTGACCAGTGGAACCTGGATGGACCGAGGACTGGTCACTCACCTGAGAGGTGTCACCGGAGACAGAGCGGCCACGGGGTCCTCCGGCGGCCGGCCTGGCTGTCTTCGTCCTGCAGGTCTTCACCCTGAGGGAGGAGCCCGGGTCCTTCAGGGGACTGCCTGCTGCAGAGGCCAGAGGGTGACCCCAGACCCCGGGCGGGTGGGCACCAGTGATTGTCCTGATGACTTTGGTGAGGAGGGCATGAGCCCCCCTCTGGTGGCGGGGCTCAGGGAAGGGACTTGTGACCACCCCATATGTGTCCCTGTAGAATTGTGCTCTTAGAAGGTTTGCAAGGCACTGGCTTCCCGAATCTCTGTCCCTCGACCCAGTCCTCACAGCAGCCACTGCCCCATCCAGAGGTTGCCTCTTGGGACTCTTGGAGACTCCAGGGCCTCCACATCCTGTCCCAGCCCCGAGGAGAACACTCACATGAGGAAGATGAGGCAGGAACAGAGACAGAGCAGGGCCATGAGACCAGCTCCCAGGGCCCCCGCCAGGACAGATCCTCCCCAGCGTTTGGGGCTCCCTGCAGTGGAGTGGGGGGCTAAGGAGATCCATCTCAGAGCCCCAGGACCCTCGAGCCCCCTTCTCCCACAAGAAGTGAGGTCCCCTGTTCATCAGCCCCCAGGCACCCCCTTCCCTGCAACCCCAGCCTAAAAGCTCCACGTCCTTCCAGCATCTTCACTCCCTCCCCTCGAGCCCCCCAGCTGACCCCTGACCTGGCAGCTGCAGGACAGTGACTCTATAGACCCCGTGGTCATTCCTGGCCTCGCAGTGAAGTCCGAGGTCTAGGCTGAGCTGCTCGTGGAGGGTCAGGGAGCTGTTGACCCAGGGTCCCTCCGAGATGGAGGTGACAGTAACGGGGGTGTTGCTGCTGTTCCCCTCCACCAGCCGGTCCCCAACCCGCCAGAGCAGCGAGGGCACCGGCCGGGCTCGGGCAGAGCAGTTACAGCGCAGACCCTCGGCCTCCCAGGAGCAGGAGGGGCCAAGCAGCTCAGGGGGGTCTGCGGGGAGTTAGGGGAGCAATCAGAGGTGGGTCCTCCTTCCAGGATCCACGTGCCTGCCCCAGGGGCCCCCACACTCACAGAGCACAGAGAGGTGCAGAGTCAGGTGCTGGGAGCCCAGAGAGTTCCGAGCTCGGCAGGTGACCTCCCCTTCATCCTTCTTCTGGACCCGAGGCAGCTCCAGGACCCCGGGGTCTGAGGACTGGGAGGGGCTCAGTGATAAATTGTCCATGGTCCAGTTCAGCATAGCTGGGGGGCTACTGTCGGCCACACAGACAAAGCACAGAGATACCCCTTCCAGGACTGGAAGAGAGGAGCTGTTGCCCAGATTTTCTAGATATTTCCAGTCTCGGGGGTGGAGAAGGGAGAGACAGAAAGGGAGCAAGTGTGAGTGAAACAAAGATTGACAGCTGAGCCCAGGCCTGGGCCTCCAAGTCCTGTCACCTCATTTTACTTAATTTTTATTTTTTTTAGGGTGGGGACAGAGATAACACTTGAAGCCGTTTTGTTGAGCTGTCGCTCACACATTGTACAATTTCCCTATGGAGAATGTTGCTGTATTTTCAGACGTGATAACCTTGGCGTCCCACTGACATGGCGTCCATCCCAACTCACAATAAATGACCCCATCTGCTACAGGTTAAACTGTGTCCCTGGAGTCAATTCAGCTGCCATATTTCCAGAAGGTGGCCTCCTCTCCTAGCCTCCCAACTGCTGGACAGTGGGTTTGAACTACCAACCTGTGGGTTAGCCGTCCAGGGCGAACCGTTTATCCTGCCCAAGGATCTCAGCATGCAATGAAGGTGCACAGTTTTTCACCTCTTCATCGACTGTGCAACCTTTTCTACAATCAACTCTAGCAGTTTTTCAGCGTTCCCCCTCCCCAAAAAAATCCCTCCATGCCCATGAAGCAGTCACCCTCTACTTCCACCCCAACGCCATTCATTAAGCAGAGGCTGTCAGAACAACTCTTCTCACAGCAACCCCCCCATGGCTCAAAGGAAAATTGCACCCCAAAGAGTGATCAATGGCTGATTTATTTATTTATTTCAGATCTAGATTGCCAGGTCTTCCTTCCTCACCACCTTGAGATGGACTTGAACTGGCAACCTCTCAGTCAGTCAGAAGCTAAGTGTATTAATTAACCTTTGCAGCCTCCTGCTGTGGAATGTTGGGGAGGAAGGGAGGGCCTCTGGCCAGGACAGGTCACCTGAGCTCCAGACAGGTGTAAGCCTCCCAACAGCCTTGAAAACGGGGTAGCAAAAGCTCCCCTGTGTTTGGCTGTACTGGCTTGAGAAAGCTCACCACCTGGGAAGACGGCTGCTGTGTCAGTTGAGCTGGGAGTGGTCTGCACGAGGCTGAGGTTCTCCTAACCAATCCACATGTCCCACGTCTATAAGCCCACCCTATCCTGTGTTCCTGTGTATGTAAGTGCAGTGCTTATCCCAATAAAATCAAGCTAGATTGATTGTCTGATCATCTCCTGGAGTGGTGTGTCTCCATCGTGCTTACTCCCATCAGGGTGTCGCTGTCAAATTGCCGGTGAACTGACAGCGACAGCCTCCCTGTGAAACAATCCTCTGACCTCCTGTCACTTCTCACCACTCTTTCCTCCCACTGCCCCACCACCTCTTTCTCCCTCCTTCTGATCTTGTTTACTGTCTTCTCCACAGGAGGAAACTGCTTGTTTTGTCGCTATGGAGACATCAGAGAACCTCTGGGCCTTCTTTGTGTATTATATTCATTCTTCCTCTCAAGATGCCAAAACTCCCATCAAGAACGACTAACTCCTACATGTGCAATTATATCAACCAGCCCTTCCATGTGCGAGTCAGGGCTGCTGATTGCACACCCCACCTTGTGTGACCGTCACCACGGCCCTTTTCCAGATGCCTCCACCCCAATCAACATCAGCTCTCTCTCTCCTCTCCTGCCTGCCGTTGCAAGTGACCATGTAGCTGATTTCGACTCATGGTGTCTCAGAAGACAGCTCTGCGGCATCACAAGTTCAAGGCCTGGATCTTTCAGGAACCAATTCCCCAGGCCTGTCTCCTGAGGTGATTCTAAGTGAGTTTGAACCTCCAATCTGTCAGTGAGTAGTCAAGCGCTTAACTGTTAGTGCCACCCAGGGACTCCTGGCCCTGATGGACTGGGTCTGCTTCTTCTCTGACAGCTTCCTGGGCCCTGGCCCAGCTCCAGGAGGTCAGAGGCCTGCTCCTCCCACCACCCCAGGGAGGAGAACCTTCTCTTACCTCCACAGTCTCCCCGGAGAAAGCTGATACTCAGGTTCTGGGGTGCATCTGTCACAGAGAAACGAGGTGAAGACAGAGTTAGAGCAGCTCTGCCCCAGGGAGCTGTAGAAGTGGGAAGTGGAGGCGGCCTGTGTCCTTCCTGCTGCCCTTCTTGGCAGCCCACGACCCCCAGGACGTGGGGGTGCTGGTCCTCTTCCCACACCCGTGGGCACTCACAGGAGACACTGAGTGTGACGGTTCTCTCCGTAGTCACCTCACTTCTGGGGAAGCTCACACGACAGGTGAGGTTGGTGCCGTGGTCCTGCGGGCCTGGGGTCAGTGTGACTGCTGAGGAGTTACGGGTCTCCGAGCGGGACCCCTGGGACCAGAGGGCAGTGCCCATCCAGGAGAAGTTTGGGGGTGGTCCCCAGTCACAGGCCCAGGGCACAGAACAGGTCACATTGCCACGGTGGCCGGACTCCAGGGACCCCGCGAAGAAGATGTCAGGGACAAGTGTCAGCGCTGGAAGGAGAGAGAAAAGAGAGAACGTTCTAGAAACAACTTGAGAGTGGTCCCGGACACACCGTTTTAAGGAGCACATTCCTTGTTGTTAGCTGCTGCCAGGTCAGCCCCAACTCGTGCCCGGTGGAATCGTGGCACAGAGGGCATCCACCGGCTGGCTTTCAAAACTGATCCCCACGTCTCTCCTCTTGCTCGCCTGTCTTAGTCTGGAAGCTTCTCTGAAACCTTCTGCACATTGTGGTGACACACAGCCCCCACTGACAGGTGGGTGGTGCCCCCGTGTAAGGTGCACCTGCCGGGGAATTGAACCCACGTTCCCGCCACGCAAGTGAGAATCCTACCACAAGAACCACCACCGTCCCCTGTGAGGATCTGACCCACGGTGACCCCATGCAGGTCAGGTAAGAGCTGTTCTCCATGTGGGATGGCCAAACACTGCATCTTCTCAGAAGCCGATAACCAGGCCTTCCTTCCTGGGGCGCCTCAGGGGGGATTCGAACCACTGACTTCTTAGCTGGTGGTCAAGCACTTAGTTTGCATTCACCCAAGGAGATGGGATCGTAGAACCATAGATATAAAAATGGTATGTTTTATGTGGGCTTTACCATGGTAAAAAAATAATTAAAAAAAATAAAAAGATGTTCAAACAAACAAAAATGGAAATAACTCAGGAAAGGGGAGAAGGGTGGTTGTACAGCTCAAAGTGGTCCTCATGCTGAGAGGGCAGGAGCAGATCGTTGAAACGGTGCACACTCTGTGCTGTATATTTACAAGGACAGTTTAAGAAATAAAAGGGAGGGAGCTCTGGTGGCCTAGTGGCAAGGAGCTACAACTACAATCCCAGAGGCACACGGTTCGAATCCACCAGATGCTCTGCCGGGGAAGGAGGGACAATCTCCTCCTGTACCAGTCAGATCTGATTTGACGGTACACTCACACAGAAATAATAAAATATATGCAACCACTGCGGAATACAAATTCACAAGTTCAACAACAACAAAAAAAATAAAATAAAAAATTTAAAAAAAAGTATTTTAAAAAAGAAATAAAAGGGAGCCCATCAACAAACAAGTGGACAGAGAAGCTGTGGTCTATTCACACAATGGAATTCTATGTTGCATTGAAAAACAAGGAACTCATGCAATATGACACAAAAATGGGTGGCCCTGGAAGACATTATGCTGAGTGAAATATCTCAGTCACAAAAAGACAATTATTACATAATGCCACTGTTATAAAAGAGGACTGACATAAGGGTTGGGGGGGGGAGACTGAGAAAGATGGGTTCAATAATGTGTACTGCATTGAAACAGATGAGGGAGAGAACTGTTTAAAAGGGATAAATGATTGGGTATTATTGTCATGACAGGAGTCCAGAATGAAGGCTGCATAGTGGAGTGGGCTTGGGGCGAGGGTTCGAATAACAATGAAAGAATTTTTTCTTTTCTTTTTCAAAAAGAGAAAAGCTAATGGGCGGTGGGCGGTGGGCAGGGAGAAAAGTGCAACAAAGAATGAATGGAAATCCCAAGTCTCTGTAAACTTTCATTAAAATCAATTCATTTAGGGGAGCTCTGGTGGCCTAGTGGTAAGGAGCTGCAACTACAATCGCAGAGGCTCACGGTTCAAATCCACCAGATGCTCTGCCGGGGAAGAAGGGACAATCTCCTCCTGTACCAGTCAGATCTGATTCGACGGTACACTCACACAAAAATAATAAAATTTTTTAAAAAAATACAAAAATCAATTCATTTAAAAAAAAGAAATAAAAGGGGAAACATCACAAGCGGTACAGGACGCCCTCAGTCTGTACCCCTGAAGGCGGCTTCCTCTCCCCACCCGCCCCCACGCCCGCTCTGGAACTGACCACCATCCACTGTCCCCCGGCCTCACCACCGTGGAGACGAGGGATCAAAGGCAGGCTGTCTTCACATCCCTTCCACATCACCGTCCCATACCTGCCACGCTCACCGTCAGCTCCTGGTCTTTGAAGCTATACTTAAAACTTCCTTTCTCCACCCGGAAAACATACTTCCCACTGTCCTCCTGCCGGGCCCCTATGATACCCAGGGAGCAGTCGCTGGCCCCGGGGTCCCCGAGGAGGTGGAATCTCCCCTTCTTCTCATTTCTAACTGTCTTCTCTAGGTCGTTTGTGACCACTGGGTTATCCTTTTTGGGATTGATGGGACCACGGCTTTTCTGAAACCAGTAGCCATGAGCTGGCTCAGACGTCTCCTGGTTGGTCTGGAGGTGGGAGAAGGTGCAGGGTATGAAGACACAGAGGCCCTGCTGCACCGTCACCGATTCCTGCATCTTCAGTGCGTAATCTCCAGCTAGGGACCCTGGAGGAAGACCAAGACGCAGTGTCAGCTCTAGCCACAGCCCCTGCCTGGGACCCCCCGCCCCCCAGCACACTCCTACCGGGCAGCAGAGCCCACAGCAGCAGCGACAGCACCATCTCTGCAGCGAGGGGAGTTGGACCTGGCATTGCCTGGCTGCTGGGTCTGTCTGTTTTTCTGGGAAGGACGTGCCCTCGGGCAACCCGAGGGGGGTGGGCAAGGCACACAGAAGAGGAAGCTCTGCTGTCTGAGGTTCCAGAGGTCACTAGCTCTTCCTACTTTTGTTGCTCATGGGTTGTCGTCACCCTCTACCCCCACAGCTGGACGCCCTGGACTTCCTCCATGAGAGGGCTGAGAGGTGAGGACCTTGCTCAAGACCAGCCAGGGACCCCCCTCTGCCAGGAGGGGGGCCCTGAAATGGATCGCTTACAGGACAGAGACGATGTCTTGGTTTCCTAGAAGTCCCCGAGTGTCACGCAAATCATAATTTCCCACCCCCAAATAATAACTTAAAACAAAAAATTAAGTCCCCAAGGAGCACAAGCGATTTGCACTGAACTCCAAATCTGATCACAACGCTGCCTCTTGGTCCAGGGATGACGTCTTGTTTTCTGTATGTGGGGATGTAATCCATACAGGAGATTACCATGTTCGATGTGCAGCAAATGTGCTTCAAGTCCTCTTTTATTCAGCAAGCAAGATTGTGTCGTCTATATCTCAGTCACAAAAAGACAAATATGGAATAGTGCCACTGTTACAAAAAAGGACTGACACAGGGGTTGAGGGAAGACTGAGAAAGATGAGATAAATAATGTATACTGCATTGAAACAGATGAGGGAGAGAACTGTTTAAAAGGGATATATGATTAGGTATTATTGTCATGACAGGAGTCCAGAACAAAGGCTGCATAGTGGGGTGGACTTGGGGGGGGGGAAGGGATTGTATAACAATGAAAGACTCTTTTATTTTTTAAAGAGAAAAGCTAATTAGGGGTGGAGGGGTGGGCAGGGAGAAAAGTGCAACAATGAATGAATGGAAATTCAAAGTCTAAACGTTCATTACAATCAATTCATTAAGGGGAGCTCTGGTGGCCTAGTGGTAAGGAGCTGCAACTACAATCCCACTGGTGCATGGTTCGAATCCACCAGGTGCTCTGCCGGGGAAGGAGGGACAAGCTCCTCCTGTACCAGTCAGATCTGATTTGACGGCACACTCACACAAAAATAATAAAATAAAAAAAATCAATTCATTAAAAACAACAACAACAACAAAAAATGATTGGGTCATCTGCATAACACAGATTGTTGGTGTCGACGGCATCACCTTGCAAAATCCTCACCCCCCTCACCCCAGAATAATAGGCAACACCGTGAAATATAGAGAAAAGATTGAAGTCGTAACAATTTCATTTTACCCTGGTAAACGAACCCACAACCAACACTCATGGCATCTGCAGCCAAGAAATCAAAACACACGCCGTATTGAGAAAATCTGCTGTCAAGGACCTCTTCCAAGTTCTAAAGGCAAGGATGTCAGTTTAAAGACTAAGGTGTACCTGATTCAAGCCATGGTCTTTTCAATGACTTTCTGGGCAGCTGAAAGCTGGACAATGACTAAGGTGGACAGAAGAAGAATCGGTGCCTTTGAGTTGTGGGGCTGGAGAAGAGTAAGGAGTATTCCATAGATACACAAAGACCAAACAAGTCTGTCTTGGAAGAATTATAACCAGGGTGCTCTTCAGAGGAAAGGATGGTGGAACCTCATCTTAGACACTTTGGACAATTTATGTTGTCAGAGGGGCCCAGTCCTGGGGAGAAAGGCATCATTCTGGGAAAGGTGGAGGGTCAGAGAAAGAGAGGAAGACTCTCAGGCAGATGGATTGAGAGTACAACCCCAGTGGATTGGAGCATGTTGGAGACAGGAATGATGGTCTGTTGTTCCATAGGGTCATTATGAATCATTGTCAACTCAACAACACCTAACCAAAAGGTGGATGGTTCAAGCTCACCCAGAGGCACCATGAAAGAAAGGGCTGGTGATCTGATTCCAGAGGATGTCAGCTTAGAGAACTCTGTGGGTGGAGCACGACATTGTTGTGACGCACGTGGCGTCACGTCGTGAGTTGGTAGTGACTCCCTATCATCAGGTCTGGGATTGAGTTTCTGCTGTAGCAAAGTATCACAGAGCGGGTGACTTTAAACAACAGATCTTAAAGGTGCAACAACTGGCGAGCTCTGGTGGCCTAGTGGCAAGAAGCTGCACTGCAATCCCAGAGGTGCATGGGTCAAATCCACTGTATGCTCTGCTGTATACTGCATTGAAACAGATGAGGGAGAGAACAGTTTAAAAGCAATATATGATAGGATATTATGGTTATGACAAGAGTCCAGAATGAAGGTTGCATAGGGGAGTGTACTGCTGGGGGGGCGGGGATTGTATACCAATGAAGGACATTTTTCTTTTATTTTTCAAAAAGAAGAGTGAATTGGGGGGTGGGGGTAGGGGTGGGCAGTGAGAAAAGTGCAGCAGTGAATGAATGGAAATCCAAAGTCTCTGTAAATTTTCATGAAAATTAATAATAATAATAAATGCAGAATAATGCATTAGTTTTAATATTTTGTTAAAAACAAAACAAAACCCAGACCTTAATGCCAGGTAGGTCTGCAGCTAGAAGTCTGACAGTCAGGTGACAGGGCTGTGCTCTCTCTGAAGGTTCCAGGTGAGACCCTTCCTGCTCTTCCAGCTCCTGGTAATCTCTGGCAATTCTTGGCAGTTGTGGTGGGTCCTCCCACCCCCTGTCCCTCTTTAAAATAATCTCTTCATTTGCATTCCTCACTGGCTGTCACTTCTTGCTTATTCGCTTGCTGGTCTGTCCTTGGAGCTGCATGGCCGGATGCATGGCCTTGATGACATGCTGCAGGGCGGAGTGGTGATCGCTTGCCTTGGCCAGGGCAGGTTCTGCTTTCTTAACGAAGGTCTCAACTCTGGCCGCTCAGACATCTCAAAGAGCCCAGACCAAGCCGTCTTGGCATTTCTTGATTTTAGATGCATCACTCCAATCTCTGTCCCCATCATCACATGTCCATCTTCCATCCATGTCCCACTGTCTCTCCTCTCCTTGCAGGGACCTACACTACTCCAGCAACCCACCCTTTGTATCTGCAAAAAAAGTCTCTTGCTAATAAAGTCACATTCACAGATACAGGGTTAGAACAAGGAGCATATACTTGGAGAGAACACATTGAAATCTATAACAACACTTTAGTTCTGTAGTTTTCTTCCTCTAAATCTATAAAGCCGGGGCTCTGGTCATATAGTGTGTTATTGATTTTGCTCCTAACCAAAAGGTCAGTGGTTCAAATCCCTGGGTTGGTGGGAGGAAAATGGGTATTCTCTTGCTATAAAGATTCACAGCCATGGAAACCCATTGGAGAGTCATGTGAGTTATTAGGCTCATAACAATAGGTTAGACCTAGGGAACTCTGGTGGCCTATTGGCAAGAAGTTGCACTGCAATCCCAGAGGCACGAAGTTCAAATCCACCAGATGCTCTGCTGAAGAAGGAGAGGCAATCTCCTCCTGTACCAGTCAGACCTGATTTGACAGTACACACACAAAACATAATAAAATAAAAACTAAAAAACAAACAAACAAAAAACAATAGGTTAGACCTATAACTTAATTATAATTATGATTCTTATTAAAAAAATCAGTCCAATTCTAATGGATGGACACCTGACAATATCCCTGACCAGTATTTCTCTCTAAACCCCCAAGGTCATCAAAGTTAAGGTGCAGACAAGGTGAACATCTTGAGTGGCTTGTACAAAGTGTTGATTGGACAATGTAATCAGTGTTATTAAAAGTTATCAGGTGGGGAGCTCTGGTGGCCTACTGGTAAGGAACTGCAACTACAATCCCAGAGGCACACGGTTCGAATCCACCAGATGCTCTGCCGGGAAAAGGAGGGACAATCTCCTCCTGTCAGATCTGATTTGACGGTACACTCACACAAAAATTAAAAAAAAAGTTATCAGGTAATACAGACCCATTTTTATTGTGGCTTTGTTCTCAATAGCAAAGAGTTGGAAATAACTGAAGTGCCCATCAACAAACGAATGGATAGAGAAGCTCTGGTATATTCACACAATGGAATACTATGCTGCATTCAAAAAACAAGGAACTCATGCAATATTATTCAAAATGGGTGACCTATGCTGAGTGAAATATCTCAGTCACAAAAGCACAAATATTGCATAGGGCCACTGTTGTAAAATGGGACTGACATCAGGGTTGAGGGAAGACAGAAAAGAAGGGGAGGAATGATCTCCACCCATTGAAACAGATGAGGGAGAGAACTGTTTAAAAGGGACATATGAATGGGTATTATTGTCATGACAGGAGTCCAGAGTGAACGATGCATAGTGGAGTGGACTTGGGTGGAGGGATTGCATAACAATGAAAGAGTTTTTCTTTTCAAGAAGAGTGAATTGGGAGGAAGGATGAATAGGGAGAAAAGTGCAACAATGAATGACTGGAAACCCTAAGTCTCTGTAAATGTCCATTAAAATTAATAATAATAATAATAAAAGTTATCAGGTAATAGTGTCTATTGATTTGACTCTGGTCCAAAGGGGCCTCAATGGATAAGAGAAGTGAACTCTGCCCAATCCCGCTTCATCCTAAGTCTCTGTGAGGCCATTGTTACCCCAGCTGTGCCAGTCCACCTCGATGGCCTTCCTATTTCTCACAGACCCTCTATTTTATCACATTTCACTTGACCCAACCCACGACATTTTTAGTTGCTTCATAGGCATGTGCTGCAATCCCATAGGCACACGGTTCGAATCCACTAGCTGCTCTGTGGGAGAAGGATGGGTAATCTCCACCCATGCAATTAACTACCTCTGAAACCCCAGCAGAGGGTCAGCTATGGGTTGGTTCTGACTCTACAGAACACAATAACACATGCATGTCAAAAATGGACAATGAAAAAGGAATATCAAAAGATCAGTGACTTCAGATTGGTGAAGGATCCTTGATGAAGGATGTTGAATTTATGAAAAGCACAGACAAATGCATCTTCAAATGAATATAGTCAGGGGCTCCTTGAAGCAAG